TTATATATATATATATATAGAGAGAGAGAGAGAGATCTACGAACCCCACTTAATTCCGATCCCTGCTCATATGTGATATATCTTCTTACGAAAAAAATTACTCATAAAATCTTTTGATTTTTAATTAGTAGTTTTATATTTAAATTAATATATATATGTTTTTTACTTTTTTAAAAATATTTCACTTCCGTCCCGTCTTATCCGATCCTTTCAGTTATTGGCGAACTATAGGAAAAGAATAAAATTATAAATATGTGAATTCATATTTAATCAAATTTTAATATAAATACGAAATATCGAGTGAAAAAAAAATAAAAATTAGAAAGCTATATATTGGAGAGAATTTATTCTTACCAGGTAGTGGGTGTTGATTAGTTGCAAAATGTTCTGGTTTAGAGGTATGAGGTCGCATTGGAATTCCACCATACTCTGGTATTATCATAGAAAATTAAATTAAATTGATGAAAAAAGAATTTTGATCAGAAAAAAATTAATTTATCTAATTTGATAAGTAATTTAAATCTATTATTTAAATTCTTCAAATATTAAATAACTTTCTAAGTTTTCGATTTTATTAATTCATTTTCTAAATCTACTCATTTTGATGAAAAATCATGCAATTAAATGAAAACAAGACTATACAACTAATTTGCCACACATATTAATAGTAGTTCGCATCAGGCAGTGCGAAGTTATAAAAATTAAATTAAAATATTTTATTTTTAAAATTTGAATTGTGACACGTAAATTGAAAAAAAGTTTGATAAAAAATTTACGGGGCGATGATTTGGGAGTTGCTGATCCAGCTGATGGAGGACGATGAGGTAGTGCTGGCATTTTACAACTTCCCGGACCTATTATTAAAATAGAGTTTATATATATTATGCTATCATAATAATTTATTTATTTTGAATATAAAGAATTTGATTGTATTAATACGTAGATTCATCAATATAGGCTAGGTCTGTTGAGTTGGGACTTAGCCCAAAATTTAATAGAGTTGTGCTATGATTTTTGAAGTTTATTTGAGAAAAGAATTTTTTGACCCGGCATGAATAAGAGGCTTGAGAAGTATCGGTAGATCCGTTTCATGGGCCAGTGAAAATTAATTAAAAATATAATATAATATAATATTAAAATTTTAAATTACAGAGAGTACAAACTCAAAACAATTATGTTAATATTTCTAATTAAATATTTATATTTTTACTTGAAAAAATAAATAAATATAAGAAAGATAATTTTATTTGTGGATCTGATTAAAAAGTAGTAGTATTAACATCATGTAATATTATTTTATCGATATTTATGATAATAATTTTAAATTATAATTTATAATTTAATTTAATAATTCTAAATATGATATAATTTTTAAATAAAAATAACACTACACATACTTTTAAAATGATAAATATCAAGCTATAAACATACTTTAGCCCACATACTTGTGAGTTGGAACGGCCATTTTCTGATCCACACAAAAAATAAACTGGCCTAATTTGATTCGTAAAATATCAAAGCCTATATAAATTAACCCGAATGAAATGGGTTAATGCATATTGACAGCTCTATTAATATATAAAATTTAAATTCAATTCAAACAAAGAATAAGCACTTTTGGGTATAAAAAAATAGTTTTTTTTGTTTGAGGGGGTGGGGGTACCTACTTGTCTTTGAATTTTTTTCCTATTTGGTCAAATTGATGAATATAAAATAATATTTTAATCTGTCCAAATTTGGTATCCATTTTATTTTCAATAGCCTAATTATTTATACTTTTATAATCTGTTTGATCTAAGTTTGAAAAAATATTTATTTTAAAAAGTATTTTTATTGACAGTGTTTGTTATATACTTATGTAATAGCAATTTGTTTTAGACTAATGTGAAGAGATAATAAATATATAATACAAATGATCTTTATGTTTTATCAACATAAAAAATTGTAATCCAGTAGATAATAAATAATATTTTAAAATTTTCATACTTTATATATCAATCAGAAAAACAAAGAGATAAAACCTGATAATATTCTTCGAGAAGCCATTATCGATGATTGACAAAAAAATAATACAAACGATATCAAAGTAAATGCTTTGTAATTCATGGTTTCAAAAAGCTATGGAGGAAGAGATGAATAATAAATATACTGTGTTTTTTTTTGTTTAATACAAACAATATCTTATATAAGCTTTTCCTCGAGAGAAAAATAAATAACTCAAACTTGTGGACTAAAATCCTTTAAGATATTAGAAAACGTGTGAAGTCTTCCCTCGACTAAACATTTATGACATTTTAGTTTTTATTTTTCATACGTGATTTAATATCTATATTAACGTTCAATTAATTTAAGTTAGTTAAACTATTTTATATTCGTAATTTAAATTTAAAATCATTAATTAAAAAAGAAATAATTTTATCCATTACGCCGCAACCTTTTTTGATTGGTGACACTTAGTTAGTCTACTCTTAAGTCTTCTCATACTGATATGTTGAACATGTAGAATATATTAAGGTAAAGTGATTTTATGATTTGTAGAAATAAGCAATATTTTTTACTTGAAAATTCTTTTTTTTTAAAGTACTTGGTATAGAATGTTGAGTTCTTTTAGCTAAAAATAATTTTTAAACAGCAGCCAAAAAAAAATAATCAGAAACAGAGTAAATTATGTTTGTGGATTTATACTGATCTTAAATTAAAAATTATCAAACTCGTCAAAATGTCATTTAATCTTATAGTCTTACACTTATTTTAAAAATATAAAATTAAGAGTTGTAAAAAAAAATTCTTTTTAAATTGGAATAAAGAGGAAAGTATACAAATAAATTTAAACATAGGAAGTAATTAATAGGGTTATATAATAAATTACATATTAAAATTATTTTTTTAAGAGATTGATCAAGTCAAACATAAAAAAGTAAAAATGATCGGATAAAGAAACTTCTACTTGTTTAGTTTGAAAATAAAAAAAATTAACAGATCATTTAATTTTTTTATATATTATATCATTAATTATAATTATCTTTTAATGCATTTATCAAAATATTAAATTTATCTAAAAAATAATATAATAAAATTATTATTTTATTTATTTTTGGTCAAAAATATATTAAATTAATATGGACAAATAAAAAACTACTACTATGGAGTCTTCATGGCAGTTGACCAAGTCAACTGATAGCGTCTTGTCAAGTTGTGTAGTTTAGCTACAATTATATTACAATAGGGTTTATCTATAGAAAATAATCGATTTTTTTTTCTATCGAAGACTTCAAAATAGCAAAAGTTTAATCTTAATTGTTAGGTTATGGAGCCTGATTAATATTTGATGTACTCAAGCAAGAGTACATCCGAGTACAGTTACACCATAGGTGGAACAACAGTGAGTTGGATGTCCAGGCTTCAGATATGTATTTCTCTTTCATCTACTGAAGCTGAGTATGTGGCAATAGCTGAAGCTGGGAAAGAGATGATATGGCTAGCAGATTATCTGGAGGAATTGGGCAAGAAGCAGAGCGAGAAAATTCTTTACTTAGATAGCCAGAGTGCCATACAGTTGGTGAAAAATTCTTTTCATTCGAAAACAAAGCACATCAGGAGGCGGTACCATTTCACTCGTAGGGCGGTGGAGGATGGTGATATGTGCTTGGAGAAGATAGAGGGTGCAAAGAACCCGACAGACATGTTGACGAAATGTGTTGATGTTGGAAAACTGGGGTTATGCAAAACCTCGGTTGGTCTTCTGTAGTTGTTGCTACAGATATTGCGGTGCGGTAAAGATGTTGATGATAAAGAGATTTTTTTTAGAATGTATTTTTGGATGAATGAATCAGTCTCCAAGTGTGAGAATTGTTAGGTTGTGGAGCCTGATTAATATTTGATGTACTGTCATATATTAATGTTCACGCGGTTTAACCTCCGCGGTGAGGTTGCCACGGGGATATGGGGGGCGGGATCCTGATTAATATTTGATGTACTGTACTATTTATTCTCTAAACCAAATATACTCTAAATTATTAATATATACCCTACCGCCATGGAAGTTTACCCACAGGGTGTTACCACAAAATATTGGTTTCTTTCTTTCTCTCTCAAGATCTCTTATCTCTCTCTCTCGTAAGTTATTGTGTTCTTCATTCATCAAGTGTGTGTGTGTGGATTCTATCCTCACAACTGGTATCAAAGCCAAGGAGATTTAACACGATCACTGAAGATGGATAGTTCAAAGCTTGGAATCAAGAAGTTTGATAAATCCGATTTCAGTCTCTGAAAGATGCAGTTGGAAGATTATCTGTACCAGAAAGATCTTTACGAACCGTTGACTGGGGTGAAGCCGGAATCCATGACGAAGGAGCAGTGAAAACTCAAGGATCACCAGGCTCTAGGGTTGATCTGGTTGCCTTCGTCAAGAAACGTGGCGTTCAACATCGTGAAGGAGAAGACTACGTTCGATCTATTCAAGGCACAGTCAAACATGTATGAAAAATCATCGGCGATGAACAAGGTATATTTGATGCGTAGATTGTTCTATTTACAGATGTCTGAGAATGGATCTGTTTCTGATCACATAAATGAGTTCAATATGATTGTGAGTCAACTCAGTTCTGTGAATATTAATTTCGAAGATAAAATTAAGGCGTTGATTTTGATGTCATCTCTGTCCGAGTCCTGGATACTGTTGTTGCTGCAATTAGCAGTTTCCGTTGATCTGAGAAACTGAAGTTTGATGAAATTCGTGATGTTGTCCTTAGCGAAAGTATTCGCAAATGAGAAGTGGGTGATTCATCGGGCAGTTCTCTCAGCGTTGATCGAAGGGGGAGAAGTAAGACGAAAGGCCAAAATCAACATGGTCGATCAAAATCAAAGAATCAAGGAAAATCTCTGAACAGATCAAACGAGACTTATTGGAACTGTGGAGAAAAAGGGCACTTTCGGACGAACTGTACAAAGCCAAAGAAGAAACAGAATCAGAAATCTGGAGATGACAATGATTCTGTAAATTCAGCAGAGGACATTGGAGATGCTCTAATCCTTAGTGTGAACAGCCTGGTTGAATCATGGATTTTTGGAATTTGGTGCATCTTTCCATTCGTCTCCAAGCAAGGATTTGTTCCAAAACTTCAAATCTGAAAATTTTGGAAAGGTGTATCTTGCTGACAATAAAGCCTTAGAGATTGAAGGAAAGAGAGATGTTTGCATAAAGACCCCCTTGAGAAACCAGTGGACATTGGAGGATGTCAGATATATTACTGGGCTCAAGAAAAATCTGATCTCTGTTGGTCAGTTGGATAGCACGGGATATGCAACAGATTTTGGAAAAAATTCATGAAAGATTGTGAAAGGTGCTTTGGTAGTAGCTCGTGGCACCAAATTTGGAACCTTGTACACCTGCAGGGTGTATTAACATGGCTACTGTTGCTGATAGTGCTTCCGTTTCATGTCTGTGGCACAACAGACTTGGACACATGAGTGCTAAAGGAATGAAGATGCTGGTTGCCAGAGGAGCATTAGAGGGCCTGAAGTCTGTCGATATGGGTCTTTGTGAGAGCTGTGTTATGGGCAAACAGAAAAGAGTAAGCTTCACAAAGACTCCTAGAGAGCCAAAGAAAGTGCGATTGGAAATGGTTCATACAGATGTTTGGGGACCATCTCCAGTATCATCACTTGGAGGATCCAGATTCTATGTTACCTTCATTGATGATTCCAGCAGAAAGGTATGGGTTTACTTCTTGAAGCATAAGTCAGATGTGTTTGCAACTTTCAAGAAATGGAAAGCTGAAGTTGAGAATTAGACCGGTTTGAAAATAAAATGTCTAAGGTCTGATAATGGAGGAGAGTATGACAAATCAGAGTTCAAGGCATTTTGTGCAACTGAGGGAATCATATACTATGAATTATTAATATATACTCCATCGCCGTGGAAGTTTACCCACGGAGTGTTACCACGAAATATTGATTTCTCTCTTTCTCTCTCTAGATCTCTCATATCTCTCTCTCGTAAGTTCTTGTGTCCTTCATTCATCAAGTGTGTGTGTGAATTCGATCCTAACAATAATATCTTTGTCTATTCGATCAAGACTTCATTAATGTGCTTGTTTACGAGCTATACTAATTCTATAGAGTAATTGCTCACATGAGCATGTCTTATACTTATTTTTAAAAGTACTTTGATTTATCAATTATTTTAATTTACAATTCTTTTTTTACAATTTTCAAAAGTATTAAATTTTTTTAAAAAATATCATATCCAAATTCACATAATTTGAAACAAAAAGATTTTTTCTTTGCATTTTAGTTCTTTTTTCCCCTTCAGATTTGATATAACTGAAATTCCTACTCTTCGTTGGTATTCTATTTATATGGTTAAATTAAATATGTATATTAAAACTAATAATAATGTAGATGAGGTATATTATGAATATATTGAATTGATTCTACTATTTCGTAGATATACTATGTTATCAAAAGTTAAACATGTTGAGCAATTAAAAGAATGAAAATAACCTTAAAAAAAATGTTTGACTTGAAATTAAATACGTCGTATAGAGTCTTATAAAATTTCGATATCTACAAAATGTTTTGAAGTACTTGCTATGTCATCAAAAAAATTACAATATCTTTTTTATAAGTCTCTTAAAGTATACATCAATTAGGAGAACGTCTGACTGTTTTATACTTTCATTATATTTTAAGATATAATTTTTTTTATTAAACATATTTACTTTATTTATATGTCATAATTTATGTGGTTATAGTTTTTAAGAATAATCACAATTGAAGACAATTAACCAATTAATTTTATTTTAAACTTCTAAAATACAAATATCGTGAGACAGGAGGAGTATAAAAAGGGCCATTCACAATAGAAAAAATTGAAAATATTTTGTGTTGTATCCTCTTTTGGGAGATAATTTAATGAAACAAAATGTACCCATTCTGTACAAAGTGGAGTACTAAAATTTAT